CTATGCTATATGCTGACAATTATTTAACAATAGCAGTAAAATAATTTCCCTACTCCACACATATTAACCACATTTAGTGTGGAAATTTGTTCCTTATTTGAAAGCTAAACTCCATCTTGCTGCTGTTTTGGCAATGTTTACCTCCTTCACCCCCTTTTAACTTTTAAATGCATTCTACAAGTGGCTTCTGTTCGCAGTATTGCAATTCTCCTTTAAATTGTATTAATTTATTCAGTAATATTATTCACTATGTTTGAATTGCCTTGTTTAATAGTAATATTAGACATAAATACATATCTTCATTTCCCTGCAGAAAGCTTCTCTTACATTTTTATTGTGTCTCCAATACTTTTTCTTTTCATTTTTGCAGCACCTCATTACCCTTTGCCTTCCAAGGGAAAGCTCAGGAATAGAAACTTCCCAAACCAGCAACAGGCAATGGCCTGCTTTCATTCCTTCTCTCATACTTTAACTGCTGAGAGACATGAAAGAACTTGAAATTTGTTTTCTGACATATTTAAATATGTGTCGCACAAATTACTTATTGAAAGGGAAAGAAAACGGCTAAACTTTACAGCTTTCTTACACGAGAGACAGAATGTGTGGATTCAGAGGCCGAGGCGAGATATACATGACCCAACATGTGGAGCAAAATATACATGAAGAAGCAATGCCTATAAGCTGTCTGAGTATGACTAAGAATGTTTGTGCAAAACCATAATGCTCCAGTTAAGTGCTGAGACACTGGCAAGCTGGTTTCAAAACTGAGCTGTCAAAATAAAGCAATTAGTAACTGACGAAATATTTTGAGGTCAGACTTTTCTAAAATGATAATCAAAACATAGTTTCCACACATAGCCCTAAAAAAAGCCTGGAATAGATAAGAAATTATATTTTTGTTTGAACCACTTAATTTTAATTCCACCTCTGAAGATGCCTTTACCTTTAGATCTTTGCTCTTACATTTATAATTGTTTACCAAACGCATCACAAATGATCTGCAGCTTTGCACTGAAAAACTAAAACATGTTTGGATAAACACACACACACACACACACTGCGATTACTGAGATTCTAAGAAGGGTTTAAATGTTTTTCTCTTATATGTTTTAATGATGAGTCATTATCTGTCCTGGACATGTGAGACAATAGTGAGACTACTGATAAATATTAGTTAAGGAAAACCATGACAACTCTGTCTGTAAGCAATCATATTTTTATAAGTGGAAGCCATATTTACTTGATGCATATACAAAGGTAAGCACATTTCACTGTTGTTTTTTACTGGGCGACCATGGTTCAGGGGTTGGGAAGTGCATCTTGTAACCCCAGCTCTGTCTGTCCAGGTCATTGTTACCTTGGGCAAGACACTTCACTCTACCTACTGGTGTTGGCCAGAGGGGCCGATGGCACAATATGGCAGCTATATTGCTTCTGTCAGTCTGCCCCAGGGCAGCTGTGGCTACAACTGTGGTTTGCTTCCACCAGTGTGTCAATGTGAGAGTGAATGAATAGTGGAATTGTGAAGCATTTTGAGTGTCTAAAAATATAAATATACTGTATAAATGCAATCCATTATTATTATTTCATTGTCCCATGTCTTTTTATACTAGGGTGCATTGTTTTTTAGTTTAAAAATCAAAAGCTCTTAGTCACTCAGCAGCTTGAGCAAAATGAAGCAGGTGTATCGCTGAGAAATGAGCAGCGCTCAACATAGCTGTTAAATCTACAGTCACAACACATTTGTTGCCCTTCATGTGCTGTTTTGTCTTTTAATCGTGCAGTCAACTAAAACTATTTAACTTCTTCCGTGTGCTCACTGACAAATGAGTGGGAAACTATTTTCCTTGACAAACAATTAAACAAACGATTCTTTGGAAAATCATTGGGTTGTGACTGTTTTGTGAGTCAAAACCAACACTTTGATTGACTGAACTTAAACTTCATAGAATTTGGCCACATGAAGTCTGTGAGTGATCGCATGTGCTACACAGGTATGCTCTACCTTAAATGGGTTCTCATGAAACTACTACATGCTTGTGAATAGACGTGACTTTATTGTACTGAATTGAAAAATCTTGGCATGCATTTTTATTATTTTGGCAAAAGTTTGGAATTCTTGAATGTTTTGGAACTGAAAATGGTGCCAGTGAATCACTGCACAGTATTCACAACCATCAGGGCATTAGTCACTAAGTGTCTGGCTATGTACTTTACCGTGTTCCTCATTCCAGCATATCAACAGGTTATGTTTCAACAACAACATCAGGGCCATGCTGGCAGTAAACGTTGACGTTCTGACAAAGGAAGATGGTGCTTTCACGGCCAATGTGTCTCCGTTGCTCAACGAACACGCTTGCGAACAATGTTATCATTACTGTGCTGTTCAGAGAAAAGCATTCTTCATTCTTTGGAGGTTTTTCAATTTTATAGCTTTGCAGGTTTAAGGGCTTTAAAACCATAAATAAAATTTCATGCAATTCATTTATATTTCACACTACATGCATTTAATTTTATATTCTAAACTCACAAACACGCAAAGAAGAAGCTTATAAAACAGATTTATTATCTAATCATCTTAAAATAGACCATTTTAAATTATTGCATTATTGTGTATTTTTACAAAATTATATGTTGTTTAAGTATGAACACTGCACACACATGCCTTTAGAAATATTGGAGTAGCATAGAATTACTATAACTGCTCATTAGTATACTGGCTTTAAGTACACCATACTATCAAATGAATATTTACAGTCTTTCCTTCATAAGAAACAGTTACACACATAAATATGTATCTATGAATTTTGTATGTAACTTTTAATTACTCCACTTGTGATATTGTATACTTTTTTTAAATGATCTTATTATAAAGCCATAATAAATTATTTAAAGCTTTATACACATATCACCATGTATGTACACATTGAGACATGGCGTCACAAGCTACTACATGCACTGAGCAGAGTGAATACGGTGGTATGTGAGTTGCTGTCATTGTGTGGTTAGCTTACAGAATTCCATCCTTGACATGCCACCATTCAAAGTAGTGACTTCACTACAGGTTCTGTGTCACACTCAACGCAAACAGATTATTACCTGAAAATCAAAACATTCACACCAGCACAAACATGCTCGGCCTACCTTCTACAAACACTTACAGAACGCACAGTTTGCATAAACAGCAGTTGAATAATTTTGTACTTGGCACAGTGACAGCATGAGGGTAATGTCAACACCGAGTTCCAGGTGGTTTTACAAGGATATATATTTTTTTCCGTTTATGTGATGACACTGTGGCTGCACAGCCTGTCATGGCAATTGGTTGCATCTTTTTCCCGGAGGTATGTTGCACAAAGATGGGTTGTTCAGCAGAAGTCAGAGTTTGACCTGGGGGAGTAGCTGAGAGAAGATGACTGGCATCATCCAACAAGAGTACAATATAAATCAACAATTTGTCTTGTTTGTTCCTATCTCCATGATTCAATTGATACACCTGGTGCAATTGTACTGCAATTTCCTCAGGCTGAAATTGCAAGACTTAGACATTTCTAAAGCCTTCCAAAACCTCAACGCAATTACCAAAAACAGAAAATTAATGATCATTTGGTAGGTGAATTCTGGGCAACAGGAAGGACAGGATGCACTGTTTAAGTGACAAAAACACAATAACACAAGTTTCCATGTGGGCTGGTAAATTGGCATGACATTAAAAGTTCACACCTAAACACTGAGCTTTGATATGAGACATCTCGAAAGCAGGTGAATGTGTGACGAGTGCTGGCACAGAGACCCGAGTGTTGTTTAAATATTACACACCAGCATGGAAAGATTGTGCAGTTGATTGTTTTCATCATAAAACGGTTGTTTAAAAAAAAAAAAAAAAAAAGATGAAGTAAATAATTACACACACACACGAAAACAGATAGCCCTTGCTGTGATTACGGCGCTTCCTGAATGGGACAAATAAAACTACCTGTAGGCACCGCACCTTAAATGCAAAGGAAATATACGCCCCCTGGTTATCTCAGGTAAAATAGTCCCAGTGTGTGTTCCTTAACATTTCACAGGTGAGACTGTTAAACTGGCTTTGAATGAGGTGTGGGTTGGAATGTTCGGAATAGTATATTAAATGGTCATTATGATTTTTTTTTAAATTAAAGACACTGGAACGCAATGTGAAGGTATTTGTGATATTCTCAATATTTTAAACTCACATGCCCCGCCCCCTTGGGTTGGGTCTGAGGTAAGCCGCCTATAAAGTGCCGCTAACACGGACCCAAGGTGAGAAGGGCTTCAGCGCTCTGGCAGGTATGATTAAGAAGACACACTCCTTTGGATACAGCCCAAGACTCTCCGCATCTTGACTCACAGCTGACTAAAGCTTGACTAAAGCTTCGGACTTTACGCAAAGAGCTCTCCGAGGTTTATTGCTGGACAGATTCTACCGAGCAGCACACTAACAATGAAGCTGGAGGTGCTGTGCGGGAGTCACTATGACATGAAGCATTTCGAGATGTCCAGTGATGCTGAGGGTCATGGGCGATCTCCTTTCCCTCCTGAAGAGGAGCTGGGGTCGGATGGGGACTGCGTGGCCCACAGTCCTCCACCTGTCACCCCGTGCGGCGGCAGCGGCAAGTCCAAGCCATACACACGTAGACCCAAGCCCCCGTTTTCATACATCGCTCTAATCGCTATGGCCATCCGGGACTCACCCAGTGGACGTCTGACTTTGGCGGAGATAAACGACTATCTGATGAAAAAGTTCCCGTTCTTCAGAGGCACTTACACCGGCTGGAGGAACTCGGTTCGTCATAATCTGTCTCTTAATGATTGTTTTCTCAAAGTGCTCCGGGACCCTTCCAGACCCTGGGGAAAGGACAATTACTGGATGCTCAATCCTCACAGCGAATACACATTTGCTGACGGGGTATTCCGGCGCAGAAGAAAGCGCATTAACAAAAAATTCAGCAGGGAACAAGAGGAGCCCGAGCACACAGAGGAGCCGCAGCTCATTCACCAGTCTGCCCCGAGCACCAAGACTGATTCCTGTCCCAAGTTTACCAGTTCATTCGCTATTGACAGCATCCTCAGCAAGCCGTTCAAGAGAGACTTAAATAACGAACGTTTGCCTCCCTTTCCTGCCTTCCCCTGGCCCTACTACACTGAACTAATGACCTATCATTCAAACACACCGGCCTCATATCTATATGTTAAGTCACCCTGTCATGTGGACTCCAGTGCCCAGCATGTATCAACCCCCTATGGTGGTGGGTTTCTTTCATAGACAATTTGCAATATCACAAAGAAATGTGGACTTGCTGTTCGGTGACTCAAAATGATCACCTTGAGTTAGTCGCTAGTTTAATCTGACATAACTGTGGCGGGATGGTGGTTCCCTTTTATTTTTGTAGTAGTTTATCCTTAAAGCGTTTTCAAACTTGAAATTTCACACTCTGTTAGAAATGTTACCGAGCAGAGCATTAACTTTATTTCTTTAACAAACCTGTTAAAAATATGCACTTTGACTGTTTTTATGTCTTTTTATTTTGAGAAATGTGAAATTAATAATAAAAAAAGTTGTGCTGATATCTGTTTCCTGTTGTTGTGTATATATCTATAACTGGAATTATAGATACTTCATAAAAGCATAGTTAACTGCCAGTGCAATTATAGAACGCACTATTCATGAGGGCGTATTCGTCTGACGCCTCCTCGAAACTATTTTCTAAATCTTGCATTGCCCAATATTTGTATAATAATAATAATAATAATAATAATAATAAACTTGGTATTGTTCTTTTTTCCCTCTTTCTTTCTGCTTCATGCTGCCAAAAGAAATATCATATAGTAGTATTTACTTTTTCATGTTCATGAAGCTCGCTGCTGCCGGATAGGGGCATCCAATATTTATGTTTTCTGTCTGGCGCTGCAAATAGCTGTCGCCTCAGTCACCACACATACTCAGGAAAGGGTTTATACAAATGCGAGCTCAACTCAAATTCAGAGCAGAAAGAAGGGTATTCCAGTTTGTGCTATTCATCTGACACTAGAAAGTAAATTTCCTCTAAAGCAGCTGTGCATCCTGGACGCACGAGTTTCGTGTTGGTAACAGCCTGCGCAGATTGTGCTTTTAACTTCACTGATGGTGACATTATTTCACGTCTTAAGCCACTCGAATTGCTCTAAACGTTTCGCAGAAGAAAGGAACTTTGCATAGCGACATGTTCATATTTTATCATCTGAATCCTTCCAAAGACTTTTGTTAGAGTGGCTACTTTCATTTCTCCAGGGATGTAATCCAGGCTCCGAGAGGTAAACTGACACTTGGGCGCTGTGTGTGGTATGTTGGCACGCTCTGATGGAAAAAACATGCTCTGGCCTCTCATGTCAGAGCCCTTAACCCTGAACAGATCCCAACCAAATCAGGAGTCGGTGCTTCTCCCGCACAACTTTACAGTCTAAAGCTGCAATTGGGCACCTTCAGTGTTTGCTGTAAAGGGAGGTAAAAGGAAATAATTTGATCTTAATCGAACTCTGAGACTTCATTCATCATGATGTCGTGACAAATACCGGTTTGTCAAATGTGGACAGAAGTGTTTTGGAAAGTGAGTCGTGGGAGGAGATTTGTCTTACTCCAATGTGCAGTGTCCGGCTTCTAGGCTGGATACTTGCCAGATGGGGAGGGAGTAGTTCCTGGCGATTTCTTGGAGGGATTTGGGGGAATAGAGGGGCAGAGAGAGATTTAAGTACTGATAGGTGGTCGAGTTGTGTTTGGCCGGGTGGATATGCGCAAGCAAAGTCTAGGAGCTTTATTTCCCCTCTCTGATGGGATTATTGCCAGCGATGGGCAGAGAGAGGAAGGAGGCTCAGCGCCTGCGTTTCTTGATTTTCACGGTTATAATCTTACCGAGCATCGCAACGGGACACTGACCTCCGTGAATTCTGCGTTAGGAAGCCTTTAACGGTGCTTAAAATACAGGAAAAGAGAGTTGCATGTTGTGTGAAACCAGAAAGAGGCACGGCTATGACGACTGAGAATTCCCAGCAACATCTGGATCTACCCAGTCCTCTGCGCGCAAGTCCAGTGGCCGGTGCTCTAAGGGCATCTGTGCTGAGCCCACAGCCAGTGATGGAGAGCGCGCATAATGAATCAGCAAAAGGGAAAAAGGGAAACTCCGGCTTGAGGCGCCCCGAAAAGCCTCCCTACTCATACATTGCCTTAATTGTGATGGCTATTCAAAGCTCGCCAACTAAAAGACTTACTTTAAGCGAAATATATCAGTTTCTCCAGGCCAGATTCCCTTTCTTCAGGGGATCATACCAGGGATGGAAAAATTCTGTCAGACATAACCTGTCTCTGAACGAGTGCTTTATAAAACTACCCAAGGGTCTAGGCAGACCTGGCAAAGGGCACTACTGGACCATCGACCCTGGCAGTGAGTTTATGTTTGAGGAGGGCTCGTTTCGTCGCAGACCCCGGGGGTTCCGGAGGAAATGCCAAGCTTTAAAACCAATGTACAGGATGATGAATGGGATCGGGTTTGGTGCATCCATGCTGTCCCAGAACTTTGATTTCCAATCACCCGCAGGCTCATTAGCATGTCATAACAGCTACAACTTAGATTTAATGGGTAATACAGTTCCAGGTGGCTTCGATGGACTCGGAGGAGGACATCACCTCCCGCACATGTCATCGAGCTCCGGGTCGTCATATATGGCCGCTTGTCAGGTGGCCTCTAACTCAGACTATTGCCCCGACAGTAGCAGCAGCCCCCTGCAGTCCTCCCCAGCGATGATAGGCACTTTGGACTGTCAGTCTCCATATGCAAATGCAGCTTCACATTGGAGTACACCTGGTGTGTCATCGTACATCAAACAGCAGTCGGTGAGATCAAGCAGTCCAAACTCCTCAGCCGTACATGCGGGAATGACGTCTTACGCGCTGGACCAGGGCTATTTGCACCATAATGCACGAGATTCTGACATTTCAGGTATGCATGTTATTACCTACACTGTTTTATATTCTCTGCTTACCACAGTGAGTCACTTGAGGCCGTGAATAACTGATCATTTATCTATCACAGATAAAGTCAACGCTCTTTTTAAAAAAACAAAAAACAAAACAAAAAACAGATTTTCATGTTTCACACACATAAAAAATACATAGAAAAATCAAGATTTTACAATGTATTTTTATGCGAACAGGTTTATTTAAAAATCTATACATAAAACATATCAATTTGTAATATATTTAAAATTAAAATTGAAAAGCAGCAAGATGAACAGAAAAGTAGTTTTTAAGGCTATAAAATATTTTTTGATATTTCTTTTTTTTTAATTTTTATCACGCATCAAAATATTGGTGTTCAATCGTGGCTTGTGTTTCATTTAACTGATTTATTGCTATCATTGTTATTTCACATTTTATTATCATGCCATAGCGTCTGCATAGAAGCCTTTTCAGAGGTCCCCGTGTTACACAAATGTAGGTCTAAATACACAATAACAGCAGCTCATTAAAACTGTTAATTATGAAAACAAACCTTTTTT